GACCACCCATGTAGTTTTATATGAATCTAACATTTCAAGAGAGTCTTAATTGAAAGAAAAAGATGTCGAAGAAATAAATCAAAGTGTTAAAAATACAAATCTTGAAGAAAATATTGAAACAGGAATTGTTTTTCCTAGAGAATGGAAATATCCTAAAAGTCATCCTAAAGAACTAATTTTAGAAGAACCAAGTAAAAGTGTTAGGACTAGGCATGAACTTAACAAAGAAGTGAACAACTCAAACTTTATTTTAATGATTAAACCCACTAATATAAATAAAAAAATTTCTAATGAATTTTGGATTTTGGCTATGCAGGAAGAATTGAATTAATTTGTTAGAAATTATATTTTGGAGTTCATTGAAAGATCTAAAAATCAAAGTATTATTGGAACTAAGTGGGTTTTCAAAAATAAGATGAATCATTTAGGTGCAATGGTCAAGAATAAAGCAAGATTGGTGGCCAAGCGATATAATTAAATATAAGAGATTGATTTTGTGGAAATGTTTACCCCTATAGTTAGACTTGAAGCAATAAGAGTATTACTAGCCTTTACCTATTTTAAAGGTTTTAAATTATTTTAAATGGATGTTAAAGTGCATTTCTTAAAGGGGTGATACAAGAGGATGTTTATATTGAGCAACCTTTTGAAACTTCATAATGTTCTAAACATGTGTTTAAATTAAAAAAAGTATTATATGGACTAAAATAGTAATCTAGGGCATGGTATGAAAGGCTCAGCTCATTCATACTAGAAAGATAATTTGTTAAAGAAAGTGTGGACACCACTTTCTTCTTAAAAGTAGTAGGAGATGATATACTCATTATTCAAATATATATTGATGATATCTTATTCGGATCTACTAATACAAATATTTGTGATGATTTTTTAAAAATAATGAGTAGTGAATTTGAAATGAATTTGATTGGAGACTTGAGTTAATTTCTTGGTTTTAGCATAAAGTAGAAAGAGGATGGCAAATTTTTGAGTCAGTCAAAATATATTAAGAATATTCTTAAAAAATTTGAAATGGATAAAGCTAAATTAATAAGTACATCGATGAGTTACTCAGTGCAGTTAGACAAGAACTCTAAGGGCAAATCTATTTATCAAAAGAAATTTAAAGGAATAATTAGGCATTACTTTACTTAACTACTAGTAGACTGAATATTATATTTAGTGTTTGTCTTTGTGCTAAATTTTAAGTTGATCCAAAGGAATCCCATTTGATTACTGTTAAAAAAATTTTGAGATATCTTTTGGGAATTCAAAACTTAGAGATACGGTATCCAAGACACATCTCTTCTTTAAAATCATTGAATATTCTGATTCAGACTTTACGTGATATAGGTTTGATCAGAAAAGTACTTCCAAAATTTCTCAATTCATTGGAAACTCTTTAATTTCTTGGTCTAGAAGAAAATAAAATTCAGTAACCCTTTCTACTGCTGAAGCAGAATATATTACCTTTGGTAGTTGTGTGGCATAAGTTCTTTGGTTAAAATAACAACTTATTGATTTAGGATTTTTTATTAGCACTATTCCAATTTTGTATGATATTACAAGTTTCATATGTATTTCAAATAATCCTATTCAATACTCTAGAACCAAACATATAGATATAAGACATCACTTCATTAGGGATCATGTGACTAAAGGAGAAATTGAGTTACATCATGTAGCTACTGAAAGTTGATTTACAGATATTTTCACAAAACCACTTACATTTGAAAAGTTTAGCACCTTAAGAACCAGATTGGGTGTAATTGATATTCATGCTTGAGAATTGAAATTTAGCAAATTCCGTATGTGATGTATCTTATTGTTGGTGTTTATGTTTTGTTGTTGTTTTTTATTTATTTTGTTTTTCTTTATTTTGGGTTTGATTTATCTTTTGTATTATTTTTGTTTTTGTTTTTTTGTGTCTCATGGATCTTGTTTGACTTGTTTTTGAAAAAGAGTCATGATTATCATGTGAAAATAAAAAAATTCCTTTTTTAGTCGTACTATACAAACCAATTTTGTACTATATGATATCACTAGATTTTGTATGACAATTTTTCTAAGTTTGTAAGAAAAAAAATATTTTTTTTGTAAATAGATCGTACTGTAAGAACACATCATCATACTGTATGAATGCTTCATTTTTCATATGTATGAATATGGAGGAAATTTGAGTGCAGTTATTTTTTTGAAGATTGTCCCGGACAAACACCTATTCATTTGTATGATCTTATTGTCATTCTGTATGTGGATGAACCTAATAGTAAGAGTACAATCATTATTGTATGATCATCCATGATGAACACTTATTTTTCTGTACGATCATTTTGGTCAAAAAGTTATACGAAATGACTCCTCGGAAATGGCAGTTTATGAAAAGTCATTTCATTTTTTGCAGTTTTTATTCGTATGTATGTAAAGATTTTTGTCTCGTGCAAATGTATAGTCATACGTACTAACCTTGTTTCATACTGTACGATCATGCCAATGTCTTTAAATTGTAAGGCATTCGTTGAGCTTTCTTCAACAATCGCTTTCAATCTCAAATCATCTTGTGTTCAAAACTCTCCCAATGGCAGGCAATAGTAAGCGGGTTTGAACCTCCAAAGGATCTTCCTCTTGTTCTTGTCAAATAGATGATAACTTCATTTCTAAAGAGAATGAAGAAACCTTCCAACATTTATTTGAGGCCAAAATGACTCCATATCGTCTCCTTATCCAAAGAGACATCAACTTTTTTGTAATGCCTCTTTTTTATTCTACCCAATTTTCTTTCATCCTCGCCTTAATCTATGCATTCCATCACGATACCTTTCACTATTTCCTTGCTAATTTGAGAATGAGAGAAAATAATATTGTAATGTCCTCATATGTTTTTAAATAGAGGGTAGAGATTACTAAGAAAGATTTAGGAACTTTCATATACCTTAGAACTGAAGGGGTAAGGGCGTACACTATGACTTTGAGGTCTGATTTTGACTAGTCCACCATAAATCAAACTCTTAGAGCTATCACTTCAGTCAATCACTTATCTCGTGTATACACGTTGAATTAAAATGCCAGGATCATCCAACATGTTTTATGAACATCCATTATTTCTAAAGTTGGTGGTAGAATCAACCTAACTCCTTTGCTTTTTATAATTAAATATCTTATTATGCCAAACACTTCAATAGATGAAGCCTAATTGATTTTGGATTACATCTATAAACTTACTGACATTGGTCTTCCTAACTATAAAAGAAAGAATAATGTGGTTTTAGGACACCTGATCACATATATTCTTGAAAAGAAGTATAATTTGTCATCTTGATCCACCTGCAAATCTTCCAATCTATTTCCCTGGTGCTATTTTTCATTCTCTATTTAATCGGGACCAAGGGGATGAGGGAGAATAATTTGATGAAGAAGGAGGACCTACACTAGCACCTGCTCCTACACCTACATCTACTCCTACTCCTGGATCTGGTCATCATTTCTATCAAGAAATGGTCAAACAATTTGATCAATTTGAATCTCATTTTGATACTCGCCTAGATCAGCAGGATGCCAAATATAATGAAGGTATGGGCTAGGTCAGAGGATAGTTTGACTCTCTGAACACTCAAGTAGTTACAATCAACAACTACTTTTTATGTTCACTTCTCCTCAACCACCTCCATATCAAGATCCTCCGGCATTTTAGTTTTCATTTTCTATTGTAGTTGATGTATATTTTGTTTCTTTTTATATTCATGTGATGGCTTTATGAAGTTTATTTTTTATATATTGGTTGTATTTGGTTTATATATTTAATGAAATGCTTGTCTTTCTTTATTTTTAATTCTCTTAATTTGTCCTTAAGTTTATATTGTTTAATGTTAGTTTAAAAGAGAAAGTTTTAAAATATTTTGCATTACATTTTAGTTTCCAAGCAAAATTGTTTTCAATTCCTAAACTTTAAATTAATTTACAAATTATATTTAGAAGATAAGATCATTTTAGTGTTCTAATAGATATGTATCTTATAGTTATAATTATTGCAAAATTAGTGACTTATGTTTCTTTTATTTTCGTATTCAATGTGTTGATTCTGTACTTGTGTTTTGAAAAGTATTAATTTTCTTTGAGAATATTAAATTTTGAGATTTTAGTTTTAAAATTGAACTCTTTATTATGAATAATATATCACCTTGGATGCGATAATATCATTCCCTAATATATTCAAATTATAAAACTTCGAATTCATCTTGATTACTATAGTCAAACTCAGGAAAACAACATATGATCTCGAAAGATCAAAATGATGTTCAATCAAATGTTTGACTATAATAATTTGGATAATAGATCACTAGTTTCATAATCAAAATCACAATAATAATTGATATATCATTCAGAGGTGAGAAATTATCAATCACTATTGATCATTTGAAAATGATGAAAATGATCATTGAATTTTGAATTTCCCAAAGATAATCAATTGAAGTTTTGAAAATTTTGATTTTGAAAATCTGGATATGGGTTTCTATCTCCTACGAGTTCAAGCCCGCGTAGGATATAAAATTTTCCTACGAATACTCTCGATTAAAATAGCAGTAAAAAATTTATTTAAGATTTTCAAAGTTTGTTGTCAAAGGAGATAAGGGTTTGAATTCTAAGTGGGATTGGTTCAAGATTGAACACTTATTTCTGGAGTCAAAGGAAGAGGAGTAGGGAGTGTTTTAAGATTCTGAAACGATTCAGAAAATACTCCAGCCTATCCTATATGTTGGGCTTAAATTTGATTGAAAGAGATGTTTAGTTTAATGGTCAATTTAATTAAAAATTTGAGATTCAATTCCTGGAGGTTGAGGTCTTATAGCCCGAGCTTTCTTTAAACTAGTGAGCTAATATTTGTCCTTTTACTATGAATAAATAATGGTAAGGGTAAATTCGGTATTCTTCCCTCCCGCGCTATTTGTTCGTTTCCTTCAAGTTTCCCGACTGCAGAGGCTGGAGGGACAAGCTAGTGTTGGAAAGCTTGGTGAACAAAGCAGATTGTTATCGGAGGTTGAGATGCTCTGAAGCGCAGAGAATAAACCCTAGGACGGGCGGGACCTTTACCGATTTGATGCTGTAAGCAATCCGCTCGTATTTCTCTTCCCCTTTTTTTCATCCAATCGAAACGCGATGCTCCAATGATGGCTAGCTTCATAAGTTTTTGATTGCTAAAAGTACATTTATAATATTCCTTCTCTTTTTTCTTAATATTATCATCCTAAATATGTTCCTACTGTGATCTTGCAATGCGCTGATGCTTTTGTTTATATTGTTTATTGATCATTGCTTTGATCACCGATTAATCTACATCGCCTCTCTTATTCATTGTTTTTGGATCTCTAAGTTGTTTTTTAGGATCACATGTATTTTTAACTTCCGTGCATGATCCGATATATCACGTCTGATCTTCGATGGATGCGCAGTATTCGGTGGACCTATAGATGGACTCATTCATTTTCGGAGGCGCATTTATACAGAAGTTTTCTTAGCATTTCTGGTAATTCATTCAATGCTAATGTGTTTAAGTGACGTTCTGTTACAATCATTAAGCCGGATAGCAAATTATTTACTTCTTGACGACCCGGATTTGGTCTAATATTGCTGATTTCCTAAATAAAGGAGTGTGCTAGTTTATTTTTTTTACTTTTTATTTTTCATGTTTGTAGTGTGTGGATGCCAAATCATCATTTGGTTGATGTTTCTACAGTGTTATTTTTGCATCACGATTCTATCATTTTGTTCTTGCTAAGCGGAGAATTTCAAGCGGAAACATTGTGTTCTAAATTTATTTACAAGATACAGAAGTTGTCTTGAAATGAAAAGCGTACGTGAAAGATACATAAATTGTCTTGAAATGAAAAGCGTACGTGCGTGCTTGTACATATTTAAGATATAAACATTGATTTTATTTATGAAGGTAAATTTTTTTGATCATTTGCTAATTTGGATAGAGTTGAAATAGTATTACATGGATTGTTAATTAACATATTGTATTATGAATCTGCATTAGATTAAAGAAAGCAGTTTATAAGGTCATTGTTTTTCCTATTTCATTTACTTTTTTGCTCAATGAATATTAAAGATACTTTTCCCTCATGATATTTGAAACTTTTTATTTAATAACAAGTTTTTCACTATCCGGAGTTTGACACAACTAAAATAAGAAAGACTTTGGAGGGGGAAGATTCATGCTTTCCTATCTAGGGATTTTTATCAATATAACAACATAATTTAGTTGATCCACATAAAACTAAATTCAAAAGGAAAAGAGAAATTAAAAGGTGTTGTTACCTGATCTATCCAACATCTATGAATTCCCTCTTTGCTAGATTGTTTCCATTATACATCAATACCTACCAATCACTTTTTAGTCTATTTTTCTCCTTATTGTGATTCTGCTACTAGTATACTGATGCAATCTTCCCCAACTTTCCATAGCATTGTCTTGCCTTTCTTAATTATCCCATTCGGAAAATGTGGTTGGGTTCATAAGAACTATGGACATGTGGCTTGCATCCAATCATTCTCTCCTTTGCTCTTACTCACAATAGTTGTTGGCCCATTTGATGCTTCAACCATTGTGTTATATGTTTTTGTGTCTTCTCTGCCCAACTCAACATCCATTGTTATCATTTTTGTTAGGGAGTTAATCAAAGGGTGACTGAAGTTAGGCTAGACACATCAATGCTTACATCCATTGCCAATCCAAAAATTTACGCTTATGGATAAGGGTCAACCACTTGTTAGTTCTTCTAATATGAGACTTAGCTCAACACTCTCACTTCTTAACAATCTCTCACTTATGTGAGAGATCTTCACAGTGGTCACACTTCTTGCAAATAAATTTTTTTTAACCTCACCAAGTATCATGTTCCAAGAGCCCACTCAACTATGTGAAGGCGTTGTGGCAGTCACCTGTTATTGAACTTTGCCCAATGATGGTTGAAGGCAACCAAGATCATGGGATCCATAATCAACTTCAATCAATCAGTTCTAGCCAAATAAAAAATGAGTATTCTAAAAACTTTCATAGATTATAATTAAGGATTCAATTATTTTTGTGATAGATAATACTTTAAAATTGGGTATAAGTAATCTCATGTGTGGATAGGCCTTCTGGTTGTAGATATATACAAACCAATCAATTATTTTAAAAAGAATAATATTTTTGATGTAGAACTATGACGAGGGCAATGATGTTTGTTAAGATTTTGCACAACTTCTTGATTAGAGGAATATCAAATAAACTACTAGCAATTAAAACAACAAAAGAAAATGTAAGAAGGGTCACAACTGTTTAGGGTAAGTCGCATAACAAGAGATTTGAAGCTTCAAAATAACATAAGAAAATAATATTATGCCAAAATAGTAGCTTCAACAAAATCCCTAGTCTAACATTGCGATTAGTAAACAAATGAATGCGCTCAAAACCCTACGTTTACTAAGCTTAGTAGAATTGGCGAATGCATCCTTCGTAACTACAATCAACTCACAAAAAAGGTTAGACTTAAGAAACGCAAGAGGAGGGAGAGTAGAAAACCTTCACTAAGGACCAGCGGCAATATTCCACTGGACGATCTCCAATTGTTCCTCAATAACTTCAACCAAAGTGTCCAAGATGCATTCTAGGTAATCCTCAACCGTGTGATCGATCCTTGGGTTGATGCAAAGAAAGTTGAATGGAGAATGTGCACGAATCCGTGTTCGTCGTACTCAAGTCCGTACTCAGTGCGGGATTGGCCATTCATAGATGCGAGACGATGATTTCTTCCCAAGGGTTGCTAGTACTCTTGAGTATTGTTGAAGAGAAAGAAGTTTTTCTTCAACTTGAAATAGGGAAGAGGCAAGGAGCAATTTCCTTTCCGAAATCTGAAATAAGTTTCAGTTTTTTGAAATTTGTGGATAGGAGATTAAGAGGGAAAGTTCAATTCCTAAATTCCGGTGGAGAGTTAATGAGAGAGAGGGAGATTGGAGAGAGAGGAGGGGTCGGGTAGGAGAGAGGGGGCCGACAGCTTTGAAGAGTGGGGGAGGGATTTATGAGATGAGATTTGGGTTTCTAAGTTTAGGTTTAGAGATTAAGAAAGATTTGATTAGTTCCAATTTAATTTGAAAATCAAATTGGATTAGATTTGAAAACTTTCCTAAAATAGTTTAGTAGAATGAGGAAATGATTTGAATTTCAAACTTAATTGATTTGACTTTCAAATTGATCCTAAATTAAATCAACCTAAATTAAGAAACTCAAGATAAGGGAAGTGGAGTGGGGCCGACGGTTAGCCAAGCAAGGTCGGCGGCTATGGCGAGGATTGGGAGGAAATTAAGGAGGCTTTAATGCTTTCTTAATTTGGTTGAGTAGATTTAGGATAAATTAATTTATCCTAATTAATTTAAGATCCAATGGAGGGAAAGATTTGAAAACTTTCCTAAAATAGATTTTATAATTTGAAAAAGAATTTGAATTTCAAATTTGGGGAAATTTGAATCCAAAGACCAACTAAATTATGGCAATCCAAAATTAGGAAGTATCTAAGAGAGACAAGAGGGCTTAGAACGACAACTTGAATGGGATTAGGTATGGGGGTTGACTGCTAGGGGAGATGTACGTGGTATTGGTTGGGGAAAAGGAAGGGGGCGATTAGGTGGCCGACGACAAGGATTGGGAGGGCCTTGTCCGACGGCTAGAAGGGGGAAGATAGGGTTTGGAAAGACAAAGATAAGAAAACTACGAATCCGGCCGTCTTTAAGGTTGGTGGGTGATCCGAGTTCCCTCTCCTAGGGATTCATAACTCAAACTCTCAAGCTCTCAAGAGAACTCAAACAAAATGAAGAAATTTTGTAATCAATTATTCATTGACTTCAAAAGAGAATAAGGAGGGATTTTATAAAGCCTCATACAAAGGACTCAAAGACAAAATATAACAATTCCCCTTGGACTTATATACGACATCCCTTAATAAAAGAGTACAATGAGAAACTAAACAAAATAAATAAAATGCGATAACATAAATAAGAAAATACATAAAATAAATAAAAAATACAATGACTCAATCATGGCCGTAGATCGGCGGCCACGCCTTTGATAAACCTTCCTTGATCTGATGTCCCCATCATTCTCCCGGGGTGGGAGAAAACTTGACTACGTTGAGTAAGTGTCTCTGGTGCTCTCGTAGATCTTTAGAACATCTGAGTCAATCTGCTACAACTCCTCGCAATCCAGCCAAATATCCTTTGACTCGGGCTTTCCTTTCCACCTGATCAAGTATTTCCTTCGTCCACCTTCCCTTGTGGATATGATATCATCACTTAGGATCGCGTCCACCTTTTCTGCTATGGAAGATTTAGGAATATTTGGTAGTGGAGGTAGGTTTGGGATCTCACATGGTGGGGTCACACAAGGTTGCTGTATGAGTGGATTTGGAGGGTTAAAATTGAGATCTTCATATGCAACTAAATCTTCTATAGTTAAAAGAGGGATTGATGTTGAAATCTGCAGGTAGATCTACTACATAGGCATTATCGTTAATTTCTTAAGTATTTTGAAAGGTCCAGCACTCTTGGCGTGCAGCTTCTTAATCGTTCCCTGCGAGAACCATTCCAGACGAATCAGCACCATCACGGAGTCACCAACCTCAAAAGTTTTAAAACGTAGTTTCAAGTCTGCATGTAGTTTGTATTTATTATTGCTCTTTTCAATTTGTTGTGCAATTTCTTTATGAAGTTCATGCAAATGGGATGCAAATGATGATGCAGACTCAGAAATTCTATACCTAGAACTCATGGATATTAGATCTAACGGCTGTCTAGGTTTGAACTCATACACAATTTCAGAAGGACTTAGGCCCTTGGTTCGGTTAATGGAATTAATATAAGCAAACTCAGCAGTAGGCAAAATGTAATCCCAATCTCTAATGTGCTCGCCAACCAAAGACCACAACAGGTACCCAAACTTCTATTAACTACCTCAGTTTGACCATCCGTTTATGGGTGAAAGGCAGTGGAAAAATGCAATTTGGTGCCCATTTTCATTCACAGGGTTTTCCACAAATGGCTAGTGAATTTTACACCCCGATCCGATACAGTGGTTTTGGGTAAACCATGTAAACGGACGACCACGTTGAAGTACAACTTCGTAATGTGAGAGGCATCAGATGTTTTGGAGCAAGGAATAAAAAGTCATTTTGGAAAATCGGTCAACTACAATACAAATGACATCATTCCTACGGAGTGTCTTGGGCATGCCTAAGATAAAGTCCATACTAACATCCTGCTATGGACAACTAGGGACAATTAGTGGAGTGTAAAGACCCGTGTTTTGTTTACGTTGTTTGGCTAGTTGGCAAGTGTGACACCGACTGACCAACCGACCGACTGACCAACCGACCGACATATCTCTTTAGGCTGGGCCAGTAAAAGCGATAATCTACGGATTCGATAGTTTTGACCCGTCCGAAGTGCCCAGCCGACGTGGAGTTCACAGACCAGAAATTCCCTAAAGGG